TGTGTGTGAGAGAGAGAGAGGTGTTGAATATACTGCACCCAGCTTCAGTATACATACTGCAGACTCGCCACCCAAACCCCAAAGCCCCCATACTTTGTTAGAGCCTGAGTGATGGTCTACAGACTCGTAAAAAAGTCAAAGCCACACTGTCTCACGTAGTTTCTAAGGCTTTCTTTCTGTCCTCTTTCTGCAGGCAGCTGATGGAGAATCAGATTACTGTGATCGAGCGTGGGGCTTTTGATGACATGAAGGAGCTGGAGAGACTGTGAGTACCACCCAGGGTTGTCTGTAGATAGGCTGACCAGAAATAACATGTCTTTTCTAAACTTGAACTTCAAATGAAATCCCACCCTTCTACTAATCTGTATTCAGTACTTAAATTAGTTGAGTGTAATGAGACTAACAGGAGGTATCAGCCGTAAATGGTGTATCAAGTGTGAGGCACTTCCCTGTCATTGCATTGTGGTCAGAGGGTGCTGAGAGGGTACAGCGTGGGTTGGGAGTATTTTTTATTAGCTCTGCCTGACAGGAATGCCCTCAGTGGGATATGTGGGCTTAAGAGGCCTCCCCCACCGCAGACCCCGGCTCATCTGGACAGCACCAGGACTCCTCAACAGCTTGTAAACCGTCTGGGAAAACACACAGACAAACATAGTCAACCACACCTCGACCAGCTCATTAGCAAATCAATAGTGCTACCCACATGGAAACCTGCACAGCAGATGAGTTTATGGACACATGCCGTCATGCACACATAGTGGTTAACGTTTAAAAGACTTTCCCTGATCTGAAACCCACATTAACAATTTACATTACCAAACTTGAGGCCATGTACAGCTTGCCTTCCCTCCTCCTCCTCCATATTCAACTGATCCAAACATTGGGTAGACATATTCATGTGCCAGACCAATGTGGAAATTAAGCGGCTCGTTTCTCCAATGTTTAAAAGCCACTAACCCACCAGCAGGTACAGTTCAGTGTGAACGGAGCAGCAGAAGACCATTAATGCCCATTGCGCACTAAATCTCCACCTCAGCTGGCCAAGCACTCTTCTCAGTGTATACAGCGAGTGGCACAGATCCCAACATCTGTCTGAATGTGTCTGAAGGAATGGCAGCGGCCTGCCTTTCAGATTTGCAGCCCCCCAGTGCCACAGCCACTACATTCACTCCCATGTGCCTCCAATGGGCCATTCAGGGAGAAGAGAGTTGTGGTTTCCAACAGATTAGCAACAGTCTGTTCCTCATTGACTTAATTGTTGTATTTGCATAAAGCCTGCCAGTCTTGGACGTTAGTTGTTTGACATGGACTCTGTTGCCAACCACCATTCCTGTCAGTGCTTCCTTGGGTTTGAATAGGCTCATCCATTTCTCTTAATTTTATTTAGAAACATCTTGTTTCGATAGTTCAGCCCAGATAAGATCTGTTCATGTTCAAATAACTGGTGGATGTAATTCACTTGTTTAAATGGGAATGTTGCTATTTTGTTACTCTGGGAAAGTCAGCAGAGCACTGAATTCTACCAGGCACAGCGTTTAACTGTGCAGAGATAATTTACGGCGCTGTCTCTGACTAGAAGTTTAATTCCCCTGAACTTTCAGCTGGATATTTATGTGACATTCAGAGCACACTGAAACACAATAGCCTGTGGCTAAGCCGATTCTACAGCAGCTAGCAGAAATTATTCACAGCCTACACAAGGGCACACATGCATAGACACAAACATACAAACTCACCAGTTGATCACATGTTTTCCCTGCCGCAGGCGACTGAACCGTAATCAACTGCAGCAGCTTCCTGAGTTGCTGTTTCAGAAGAACCCTGCCCTGTCTCGACTGTAAGTACATTTACTTTTTTATTTCAGTTCAGCACACCCTCACATTTTGCACACGCCATCTCTCTTCAGATTTTCTTTAGCCACCAATGTACAATATACTGCACAGCATGGTTTTAATAGGTCTGATGAATTTTGGCTTGGGTTTGGTTTAAACGCAATTAAAGGACAAGGAGCTTTAGCTGCACTTGCTAGAATGCCATCAGTTCTCATTAACATTCTGACTTATTAGGTGAAGTATGTTAAGTGTACCCTGTGATTTCCCCTGTACTTACTGTCTGTAACTGAATGAGTGGAAATTCAAGTTCTTCGTCACATCATTGGGCCGTCATGCCAAGTCCTCTGCAGTTTCTCTGTGATAGTCTGTCTGCGAGAGAAGCCACTGGTGACAGGGAGTTGGTGTGACATTGGGTCTTGAACTAAGGGACACATTAGACTTTGAACTCTGTTCAAGGTGAAAGGATGTCTGTGTTGCTTAATGAGGTCGTTTTATGTCACAGGAGAAGTCCCCAAAGCTCACTCTGCCAGTGGACTCATATACCTCCATCATATGAATGAAATGTGTCATCACAGTTTTCCTTCAGTTTCCACTTGTTAAGGCCAATCCCATACTGTCACACACCCACACATCCTTACACTCATGCGCCCCATGGAGTGAGACAATCCCATAGTAATGCTGAACTTTTATTCCCATCTGCAACAAGGCTCAATGTTTTTTTTCTTTCTTTCTTTCTTTGGGATAATCAGTGTCCCTCTTGCTATAGCTGATCATTCCAACTCCCATTATTCCAGTTCAGATTACCTGGAGCATCTGGGAATAATGAAACAGTGGGACATGGAAAAATCATTTCCCTCCCTTCAATCCACACAGTGGTACTACTAACCCATGATCCCGGGCCTCAGCCCTCCATATGTTTATCTTGCGTTTGATGTTTAACACCATCTTGAATCTATCTGTCACTTCCTCGCAACTATCTCGTCACGTCACCTATCATTATGCCAAAACCAGCCTATAGGGCTTTAGGGCAAAGCCTCATCCTTTGGGGGCAAGACTGGCCTGCTTGTGGCTTGCTAACACTGAGCAGCACTGAGTTGTCTGTCTAGCTGGAACAGACGCAGAGCAGACCAAGGCCTTCCAGACCAGCGGATGGCCTTGAACAAGCGTGATTAGTCCATCTGGAGCAGCAGGCTCTGCCAACAGCCAGAGGATTGTGCTAACACAGCTCCCCTGTTTCATCCAATCTAACTTCACGCTCATTATTCTAAACCAGCGCTGGCTTTTCTGCCACATTGTGCAGAATGAGACTTTGTTTAACATTGCTTAATCGATTCGCTATGTGTCTGTGTATACACTCATTTGTTCTTTATCCTTGGCTGGATAAAAGAGAACCATAATGGACCTTGAAGCTTTTCAGGTGTGGCAGTGCCTACATTCTTTAACAGTTAAAACAAATGTACAATCCAGGGCCATGGAATTGAAAATAATGCAATCTTTATGGTGCCTGTGTATGATTGACAGTTGCTACTTTATGAAAGACTTCTACAGCTTGTTAAAAATTAGGTCTAGTAGCGTGGGATCAGGAACAGCAGTAGAAGACAAAGGTTTTTCCTAATGTGTTTCTTAACTCCTGAGAGGTGTGTCTGGGCCACACCGTGGGTTCTGGTTCCAGTCTGATGCGGTTAGGTTACAGCCTTGTCTCGCTCCCGCCAGCAGCTTTTAATGGACTTAAAAGGTTCTCAGCTCCCAGGGGAAGACTTTCGCTGCTATTTCATGTGTGCATTTGTGTGTGTGTGTGTGTGTGTCTGATGACAGAGAGAGATAGAGAGAGACAGAGAGTCTATGCTTGCATATGTATTTATGTGTGTCTTTGCACTTGCTCAAAGTGCTCACTGGGGCTTGTTAGGGTCTGTCTTTATGTTCCTAACAAGAGAGGTTAATGTGAAAGCCCGCTGCCCTCAGGTGGAGCACTAACCCAGATGGTTTCTTGGACGCAGGATTAATTGCCCCCTTTCCTTTTTCTGTGCTTTTTACACCCTTCCTCTCAGTCTCTTCTACTCCCCTCTTTTTCTCTCTTCTTGCTCATTCTGGAGTGAGGGTTTGAGGAAACGCTTGTATAACAAAGTGGCTATTTGTCTTAGGCATCCTGCTGAGAGGACAAACAGAAAGAAGGACGTAGGGGATGGAGGAGGGAGGGCTTGCAGATGAGATCGTTGCTCTCATTAAACTTTTGAGGAAAAGCTAGCCGGGTTAATAAAAGGCTGTCGGTTAAATGAGCAGAGGGCTGTTGATTTGTGGGGAGTTTTTACACACTTGACTCCCATGCAGTCATTAAGCTAACGGTAATGAGTTTTCACTACAAAGGGAAGATGGAGATATAATGAAAGTGTTCTTGCTAGAACACAGATTTTTGAAAAATGGCATGGGCTCTGAAGAAGAAGAACAAATTCATATTTAGAAATAATTACTTTGTATCTTTGCAATAATTCTGCAAAAGTTTGAAGCATAGTTGGTTGAAAATGTGCAGTATGTCTTCTTTCATGTACACAACAGGGAAGTAAGGTAGTGCACATATATTTTACTGAGCCGCGTGTTCTGCTTTCTGTTTTGAGAGCCTACCTCTTTATCTACACCCCCGCTCCTCTGTCTCTTCCCATGCCTGAGAGATACCAGAGACACTGATGCATGAGAGGCAGAGCAGAGATAATTGGAATTGATTAGAGATGATTAGAGATAGTTAGAGTTAGTTAAAGCCGCCTGTGATGGATGGCACTGACGAGAAGGCATGGGAACGGTGGCGCAGAGGTGAGAGGCGCTGCACAGAACATCAGTGAACAATAACAGTGAAAATAGAGTTGCATTCATCACTGTTAACGACCTGTTGCCCCCAGCCCACCGCCCCTGACTTCTCCTCATTCCACTTCCACTGCACTTCAGATCTGTAATCTACTCATCCATGTCTGTAATTAGTGTCTTTTCACAGTGGGAGAGCAGGAGGAAGGAAGGACCGCGGGATGGAGGAAAAAAGAGGGATAGGTGAGCGGAGCTGGAGGAGTGCAGAGTAGTTAGCATGATAGCAGGCCCCGGGGAATAGCATCTGGTTTGGGCTCAGGATAGGGGCTTGTGGGAAGAGGAGGCGAAGGGGTATTTTGCGGTTTTTGATTACCGTGTTGCTTGTTGCTGCCACAAACAAATGCCGGCAACAACACAGGCTTGTTTGAAGGGGTGTTGCTTTCATTAATGGCTAACGTGCGGTCTGACATGGTGGGGTGAGGGGACGGTTAGGAGAGGTTTTCCCTTGTGTATCTCCCCGGGAGGTATGGAGGAGGAGCAGGAGGAGGAGGAAGGAGGGAGGAGGGAAGGGTGTGGTAGTACCTGCAATACAGGGGAGCAGAGGAAACCCTGGCAAAGGACTGAAGAAGGGGATGTGTCTCATCTTTCTTTAAGATCTTTAATTTTCGTGTTAATGCTTGACGACGGGTATCCTGATATACAAAAACCCAAAACACACGCTGAAATACTGGCGGGATGACACAAATGCGAATGGGCACACACACAAGAGAGAGAAAAAAAAGAGGGAAAATGTAAATAACACTAATTAGACACAAACACACACAGAATAACACTATAATTACATCTCTGTGTGCTAATGTGTGGATGGCAAGCATACACGAGGGATTACGTTCTTTATATGGCTTTGACTGTAGATAAAAGAGCGGCTTCTACTATGTGTTGATTCGGAGCTGCCTGTTCTGTGTTTGTGTTGGAAGGATGCTGTGTTTTCTGTTTGTTGATGGCTTGATGCTTAGGGAACGGTAGCTCAGAGTGAGAAGAAAGAATTGTTTGGGGGAAGCAGATCTAGAATAAATAATGTGCACTATCATTAAACCTATAAATCATCTCTCTGTCACAGTATTCCCACTTGTTTTTGACTTTGTTACCATTTGATATACAGTATTTTCCCCTTCTCATTTGCTGCAGATTGATTGGTTGGTAAACTCGCTCTGGTGTTCTAAGACTGTTTGTGCCACAAAGCAAGCAAATTAACTCTTTCAACTTTTGACTTTTTTGACTGCATATGGTTGAAAGACTTTTTTTTTCTCTCCTCATGACTGTTTTTAAGTGTTTGTATAATACTGTGCTCTGTGTGTGTGCCTGTGCATGCATGTGTGTCTGGCAGGCAGTTAATGGTCTAAGCTGGTCTTGTGGTTTCCTTCTCTTTGTCTCTGCTTATGAATGACCTGCCTCGACGTGCTAGGTGTCTCTCTCTCTCTCTCCCTCAGAGGACCGTTTGGGCCCCCGCTTGGCAGCAGTCCCCATGGCAACCTGTCCTCATCAGAAGCTTTCTGTGCCATCGATGGCAGACATCCTGATTTCTTGACTGCAGATTGTCTGACACTAAGTAAACACTTTAGCAAAGACTAAAGCAAATATTTTAGTGAGTAAAGTTAACTTTAGACACAATGAAAGCAAAATACCTGTAAGAATCAGAGAAACTGGCTACTTTAAAAAGGGCTCACCCAAAATGATGCATTTTTGTACTTGCCACTAGTGGTATCTACCCTTGCAGATAGTTTTGGTTTAGTTAATACCATAATATATTTTTAAATGTCCGTCTCTGAGTGTTGTGATGCTCATAACGCTGAAAGATTTAACAGCAGTGTCTCTTTTCTTTGGTAGAACTGAAACCTGTCACCACTGATGGCTGATGATTGTCTAATAACAGGGACAGTGCTTTTTTTTTTCAGTTGCTGGATTTAGTTAAACGATATGTAGTTTTTTTAAATCCCTAATTTGGGTGAACTGACTTTTTAAGACGCACGGCTAGAGTTTAGATTGTTGCAGGAGTTTGAAATAACTGACCGGGCGACCAACCAAAAAATAGCAAGCAGGCCTTAACTCCTTGCCCCTGCCCCTCTTCCTGCCCCTGTCCTTGTCAGCTGGTAAAAGTGGCTTTTATGGCTTGTCGTTGTTTTCTTTACGAGTCGGACCGTGTGTGAGAGAG